ATCCCCCGCCCCCCCAAGCTGCCACAACTCTCCAACCTGAAGGTCTTTGACTTTCAGAACAGGACCTTAAAATCTCTCCTCAGACTTGTGACAGCTTCACTTCACCCTAAACAGACCCAGATAAACACAGAGGCCCCACAACTGACATAGCCACAATTAGCTCCCTGTAACTCTCACCAAGTTTAGGGACAAGAGAAGCTAGCTGTACGGAGGTCACGGAGTCCAGCTTTCTAGAAGTCTGGGTCTGGCTGGTTGGCCTTTACAGTGACCTCGCTGCCCACGCTAAGCTATACCAGAACCAAATGTAAAATCATCACAGTACCAGACCCTCAAAGGATTTAAGTCAAAAGGCAGCCCTTTTGTCTTTGGACAACTGGAGTGCCACTCCAGTGGATAAGATAAACTGGAATTTCCAGGTGGATGTGGATTGGAGCAGAATTCTAGTCTGTCTCTTGACAGGAAGGGTCTGGGAACAAAGTATAGGAGGCACTGGATGAACAGGTAGAAATAACCAGGTTTAGCCAAAGACTATCTGGGCCCCTTTCATACACACATACACACACAGCCCAGCTAAGCCCAAGGGATAAGCCTGCTGACCTTGCTCCCAAAGTCTGAAAGTTCCCCAGAGTGGAACCTATGGAAGGTCTTGGACTGCCTGGAAATTAACTGCTCCATCACTCTCAAACCATAAATTAACCTAGTCCCAACCTGGAAATCCCTACCCAAAGACCGTAATATCCAGGCATGTGGCTGTTCCTGTCTCATTATACTCATTATAAAGCAGCAAGCTAAGATTATCCTGCAGAGCTAATGCCTGGCTTCAGAAATAGAGGAAAACTTTCACACAATCAAACAAACCCAGGGCTGAAGAAATTTAATATCAAATGTGGGTTTCTCATAGAAAGGAAGGGAGCGTTAGTAAGAGGAAAAAAGATACACACACACACACACACACACACACACACACACACACTCACTTTGGTTTCCCTAAATGCCATCAGCACTGTTTAATTACATCTCCACTGCCTAAAATGTGAGTTGCTACAGGGGAGACATTTTGTCTTCTTGTAGTTCTAGTGCTCAATACAGTACACACTGGTTTAACAAGTTACCTGATGCCCTAGTCAACAAGGATATCCAATAGACTCACAGAGACACTATGCAAGGATCTTCTTCCCACACTCTAGGCCATAGCAGGCCACCTGTGAGCCTATGCACTAGGGTTCTACTAGGAATCAACCTCAAGGAAGAATACTGGAGAGAACTATAGTTCCAACAAGCTGCAATCTGAGCCCAATTCCACTTTTGGCTCTTGTTCCCTGTGTCCCAAGGAGCTTCTACTTGGTCCACCAGAAACCCTACTGCAAAAGAAGTCTCCCACTCAGAGTCTGGGACAAATTCTTTTTTTTTTTTTTTTCATCCCAGTGCTGGGGATTGACCCCAAGGCCTTACACATGCTAGCCAAGTGATCTAACACCGAGCTACATCCCCAGCAGGTCTGGGAAATATTACAAACAGGTGTCACTTCTACAGCTATTATGCCATATGGGAAAAGGGACCAGGTTTCACCATGAAAATGAGCCATATAGTCAATCCTTTCTGAATCTCAGACTGTTAGACAAGGAGTGCCTGTGTGTGCCAATAAATTATTTCCCCTAGAAAAAAGTAATGGGCAAAGCTGGTTTTAACAACTAGTTACTTAAGCCTAAAGTTTCAAGATGTATATACAGGTAAGGATCCTGAGATGCCACCCTTAACCAGAAGGTGATGATGAGATTCCAAGACTCATCCCTGAACAGGTGGGTGAGAGAGAGCGCTTTCCCAAGCCTCACAGTATACTCTGTTCTGGGCAGCCTGCTTGTATCCACATGTGTGCATATGGAGAGAGGGATACAACATGCTTAAGAAAAATGCCTGAAAGCCAAGAGCTCCCAAGAATCTAGCAAGTGCTTCATCTTCAGTGGGCACAAATCATGGCAGAGGCTCAGCTGACAGTCCCCATAAAAGCCAGGAATATTGGCTCATGAACAAGTGCTCTCCTAGGGCCCTAACTACCTGTAGCTGCTGTTTGCTGGCCCAGACTCTAGATCAGTCTTTTCGTTTTGAACAAATGAAAGGGATCTCCTCAAAGCACAGCTAGGCAAAAGAGGGCTGTGAAGTTGAAGCAGTCCAGAATTCACTCCCTGCCCCCTCAAGAGAATTGTACTTAACTGTGCCAGGCCCCAGCTGAGTCCCCCAGGCCAGCCCTGCCTCCCCAACCAGTCTAGCCTGATGTGCTGCCCACCTACCACCACCCAGCCCTCTCTGGACTTGCCGGTGCCCCAGCCGGTCAAGGCATGTTGAGCTGTGCCAAATCTGAGCAGAGATAAACATTCCAGGAAAAGAAATGCATGGCTGCCGCTCCTCCCATCTCAGGCAAACACCCAGGTGGCCAGAAAAGGGAGACTCATTCCCAGGGTCAATAGAGGATATCCTGTAAGGCCCCAAGAGGGCCTGAGACAAGGCTATGGGGAAAGGTCTGAACTCCCTGGGAAGACTTTCTGGGGGCCTCACAATTGCCCACGGGAGAGAGAAGGGTGCCAACTATGGCTCCAAACACCAGGACCTACCTGCCCCAAGTCACACAGACAGCACACACAGAGGATTCTATCCCAAACCTATATGAAGTCTATTCAAATGCTCTGACAACCCAAGACAAATCACCAGCAGCCCATTCTGGTGCCTTACCATCTCAAACCCACCAACTAACCAGATGAGAGGGATCAAATCATCTGGCCCAGCCCTCTGGACACCAAAAAGCAGAGCCAAGTTGGCGAAAGGAACTGCAAGTAGTGAAAAGGCCACAGCTCTAAACCCCAAGGATGCTTTCTCCCACCAACCTCAAAACCACCCTGCAAGGGCTTTGACTGACACCTGCCCAGTTGAATGGACAGGCTCAACTCCCCCCCCCCCGCCCACACACATACTCTAAGGCAGACTTTCAGGTGTCTCAAGACCCCTCAACCCCTCCTGGTCAGGAACCTCCACTCCAAGAGCTGCACCCAATCATTCAACCCTAAGGATTCAACTAAAATGGAGACAAGACCTCTATGCTCACTTCTGGGGTTGCAGCCTCAGTAGCAGCCAAATGTCACAGTCCCATGCAAGTCACAGATGGCAGCCAACCTAGATAAAGCCAGGGACCTCTCTCTCACTCTACCCTCTAAAAAGTTAGCTCTCAGGAAGTCCTTTTGAGCAGCTGATTTCAGAATCCATTTAGCAATGTCAATAACTGGTAACAAGCTTATCACTAGGGACATATTACAAAACAAAGCAGAACTGCAGTCACCACTGTGCCTCTCATACTTTAGCAAAAAGACCCTATACCTCAAACATCAATCTAATGAATTTTGGGAGTATTTATCTAATTTGCCAATTGATTTCTCTTCCTGCATAATGCACAGGCAACAAAAACAAAAGCAAAAAGCCTGGCTTCTCTGTGGTCTGCGGACTCACACTCTCTCTTCCTCCTTCTCTCTGTTGTTCAGAGCCATCTTCATGGGAGTATGAGAAAATGAAACTTCAAGGTCTCAAACAAATTGTATTACCATTAGCCACTGAAATGTACTGAGTACCTAGATGTGTGTATTTAAAATACACAATCTCATTTAGTCCTAAAACTTAACACTGTAAGGTAAGCATCAACAAGTCCATTTTAAATGAGGAAGAAACTGTAACATGCCTGAAACCATATATGTAGTGGTAGGACAAAGATTATACCTCATTTTTTTATAGGACTACTCTGCTTCCCAGATTAACCACCACATCCAAAGGAATTCAATTTTCTGCTTTAAGAAAGTCCCCCTCATGACCACAGTTCATGTTTGACCAATTCCAAGAGGTTCCTCCCAAACATGATATGAAAATATTGAAGTAATTACTGGAGAAATTGAGCAAGAGCATGTAGGGAGGCCTGCCTCTGCCAGGGCTCTACCGGAATGTGACAGAGCTATTGCAGGATGCCTGCCAGCCTGCCAGGGCCCCTCACTCAGAACAACATTCTCTAAAACCTGGCATTAGAAATGAGCAGCCACCTGTCTGGTAACCCTGGAAGCAACCTGTGCTGCCTTGGGCCTGCAGGCCTATGGGTTACAGGTGAAGGAGAGGTCCAGGCAGGGCTCAGCCTCCTCTTGAGGTAAGGAATGCAAACCCACCTACCGATCTCCCAGCCTACGCTGAAACATGCTGGAGGCCAGGGTTCAGATCACCAGGGCAAGGAGTGTGAGAAAGGGAAAGGGCAGCCCTGGTTACATTTTAGCCCTCCAGCTCCCAGGGTACACAAGCCCTCTGCCCCTGTGAGGGCACCAGGTTTTGGGAACCTTCAGGAGGAGGAAGTTGGAGGAGGGGGACCGAGGTCCCAGGTCAGGGATATACACAGAAGAGGAAATGAACACAATAGTGACAACTTACTGAGAGTTTATCCTCATTAATCCAACTCTTATTTACACTGTTTCATTTACTCTTCAGCAACAAGCTCCTAAATAGGTACCATTTACTATCTTCAGAAGGGAGACCTTACAGACAAGTCACTTGCCCAAAGAAGGCTCAGGAGAAAACCCACATTCAGGAGAGTGGCTCCAAGAGAAGACATGAACGCACAGGTCAGATCCCTTCCGCACCGTCCACCCAAAAGCAGGGGAGTTACTCTGAGCTGCCTGTTCCCACCACGGTTAGTATGGCAAGGCTGCTCCAAGCCCTAAGCCGACTTAAACTCCAAAACTTCCTGATCCCTGAGTCACAGCAGGGACGTCTCTAAGAAGGGACTGCGGGCTTCCCTACAGGGCCCCAGTCAACCTCTCTTCCCCTATGAGGCCCCGAGCCTCTCTTTGGGCTTAAGTTCTCGGACCCCGAATAGGGAGACTGGCAGTCGTGTTACAGAGCACAGGGGAATGTCCCAGAGACCCAGTCGGGAAATCCGGGGGAGTCCCCGTCCTCGGACAGGCGCCGACCCGAGTCCTTACCGAGCAGCGGGACTCCTCAGGGCAAGCGGGCAACGACAGTGCTGTGGTGGGGGACACTGAGACCGAAGTCAAGTTGCTCTCGGGGCCGGGGCCAGAATCCGCACCAGGGTTGGAGTCGCGACCCGGGCGAGGCTCAGAGGAGACGCCTATAGGAGGCGGCGGCCGAGCGCCCGGGGACCGGAGCTCCCCGGAGGACTGCCCGCTGGCGGTGGCGCCGTTTGAGCTGCCCTGCAGTGGCGTGGGGACTCCGACGAGCAGGCGGTTCAGGTCGCGGCCAGCCAGGTAGTAGACGAGGGTGACGCCGAGGTGCAGCGCGCAGACGGCCACGAGCAGGCGGCAGGCCGCTGTAGGTCGCGCCGGGGCATCGCGGCGCTGCCGCCCAAGAGCGGCTCCCGAAACCTCTATCTTCCCGCCGCTGCTTTAAGAGGGGGGGGGCCACGAGGGGTGGACGGCCCGCCCGCGGGCCGCCAGCCAGGCGCTACCCGACCACGGCGGCTGGGGGAGGGGCCGCAGGGGGGCGAAGGAGCAGGGCGGGTGGAAAGCCGAACTCGGGCTGGACCTCAGCAGCCACACTAGAGCGCCGGAGGCGGCGGGGCGGGGGCGGGGCAGGGGCCGGCCGACGGGGCGGGCCCGCGAGCGGGCTTTCTGGGGCGCTAGGGAGGGCGGGGTCTCTGGGGCGCGGAGATCGGGGGGCGGGGACTCCGGGGGCGGGCACTCCGGGGGCGGAGTCTCCGGAGGGGGTTGCGGAGGCGGAGCTCTTGGGCCCGCCCTGCCGGGTGGGACTCTGCCTCTCACGCCCAGCCGGCCCGGCTCTCGTCTTCCTCAGCCTTTACCCCACGTGGGGCTTAGGTAGCCACCAAGCCGCGCCTCCTCCAGCGAGCGGCTCCCAAAGGCCCGGCCACTTCCTGGGGTACCCAGGGACTGGGGTGCGGGCCTGGGACTGCTGCGCGGCGGCAAAGAGGGAGGAGGGAAAAGCTGGATGTTGTTTGAGGGGTTGGGGCCACGGCCGACTTGCTGCCGGTAGGACTAGGGGGTGAGAACGGTTGTCCAGGAAACAGGCTTTGACGCCCCGCGAGGACACGGACGGCGGCGCGGTTGTTCTCTGGGACGTTCGGAGCCCTCTCTCTTAGCCTAGCTGGGGCCGCGGTGTCCTGCGGTGAGTGAGGAAAGTGGACGTGTATGCCGGGTTAGGGAATCTCAGAGGCCGGCCCAGCTCGGTTCTGGGTGCAGAGGGCACCTCCAAATGCATACCATGCTGTGAGGATAAATGCTTTCAGGGGGAGGGTGACAAAAGCTTCAGTAACTCACGCTGGCAGCCGGAGAGCTGTCTGTTTTACAGTCTACACTAGGCTGGAACACAGTCCAGTCAAGTAGGAATTGTTCCCATTTTACAGATAAGAGTTCAGGAAGCCTGATGTGGTTGGTGGTGCACCCCTGCAATCTGAGCAGTTGGGAGGTGGAGGCAGGACGATCCAGAGTTGGAGGCCATTGTCTCAAAAAAAGAAAAAGAAAATAAAAGATTCAAGATCCAGAAAGTTAAGAAACTTGCCAAATATCCCACAGCTGATGGGAGGTAGAATAGAATTCTGGCTCCAAAACCCTTATTCACTCTACACACACACACATATTTGCACGCATACCCACTAACCCCCCTTTGTTGATTTGCAAATAAAGGCTGGAAGTTGTGTGGGTGAGAGACTTAAGCACTGAAGCCCCTGAACCTAAAGTTTACCCTAAGGGCTCAGACCCACCTGGTATTTGACTGACCTCAACGCAAAGAAAGACTGGTGGAGGTGCTGTCTTATGTGTGAATGGAAGCTGTGGGCTCTGGCAGCCGACTTTGAATAGGGAATGTTAGTTAACACTAGCACTACTGTACTTTGAGAACTTACTATATGCCTGTGTGTGTCATAAAATAAGCATTGTTTCTGTCTCCATTTCACAGAAGAAAAAAACAGGTGGAGAAGTTGACATTTGGTTAGGATGATACAGAACCTGCTTCCTTCACTTGACTTCCCAAACGCCACGTCCTCCAGATCTTCCTCATTTCACTGGCCACTCCTCTGTCTCTTTTTTGGACTTCTTTACTTCCCAGTGTTGAAGGTCCCAGGCCATGGTCCATAATGCTGTTTCTTTTTTTTTTTTTTTTTTCTACACTCACTTCCTACGTGTGATTTATAATATCTGTATGCCTGACAACCCCAAAATTTCTGTGTTTCGTCCCACGTTCTTGTACTAGCATCTCAAAGTCAATGCTTCCTGCCTCCAGCAACTTAACCCCTATGCTTTACTCCCATCCTTACCTCCTTCATTGTTCACCTAGTTCCCCAAGACCAGAATTTGACAAGTGTCCTTGATGTGCCCCTAATTCCAAAATGTCATTTCCAATTTCTCTGCAAGGCACCTCAGTGCTTCCTTCAAAATACCAGAATTCACCAGACATGGTGGCTCACACCTGTAATCCTAGCTATTTGGGAAGCTGAGATCAAGAGGATCATGGTTTCAAGGCCAGTCTAGGGAAATAGTTTGAAATCTCCATCTCCAAAATAACCATAACAAAATGGACTAGAGATAAAGCTCAAGTGGCAGAGTGCTTGCTTTGCAAGCACAAAGCTCTGAGTTCAAACCCCATTCCTGCAAAGTAAATAAATAAATAAAAATACACTGTTTGGTAACTCTGCTGTTAGTCATTGTGGACCAAGCCACCATTATCTTGGCCTGGGTATATGGTCACCCTACTTCCACCTCTTCCATACCCTTCTCCAGTCTTCCTTCCTACCTGCCTCAGAGCCTTTGTACTTGCTATTCACTTAGGCTGAAACACTCTTCCCTCATTATTTCATTCAGGTCCCTCAAATGTCACCTTATGAAAAAGACCTTCATGGACTACCTTATGTAAATTAGTCTCTTGCCCAAATCTGCTTTTCCTGCTTGATTTTTTGAGACAGGGTAGCCCAGCCTGGAACTTGCTGTATATACCAGGCTGACCTCACTTGCAATCCACCTGCTCAGCCTCCTGAGTGCTGGAATACCCAGCAATATATACAATTGTCTTGATAGGAAGAGAAGGGAGAAATTATTGCAGTTATTTTAGGACAACAAAGTCAATAGTTAATCTTTCAAGGAGTTGGTAAAGGTGAAGCTGATCCTAACAACTTATATCCTACGGGAAAATTCTGCCTGGCCAATGAATCAGACTAAGGCAGATGAGTCCCCCATCTGAAAAATGAGGGGACGACTGAGGGGGGGCATGGCTCAAGTGGTAGAGCACTTGCCTAGCAAGTGTGAGGTCCTGAGTTCAAGCCCCAATGCTGCAAAAAAAAAAAAAGAGGGGGAGAAAATGGAGATGTATATGTTTAGTAGGTACAATGATGGCCAGGAGACAGGACTGCAGACCTGTCCCAGGACCATCTGTGGTTAGGCATCAAGGAAAAGGAACAGTACTTGCTAATTGTCTATAACTTAGGAAGATGCAGAGTCCACTGAGGCCAGAGCACCAGCTTTACCAGCCCCTGATCCAGAGGTATCTAGAATTAGTATATTTATTGCATCAAAAAGGTCCAGAATCCTCAGGACAACATTGTTCAGCTTCCAAACATGAATTAATTGGTATTAGAGAAAGAAAGACAACTTTCCCCACTGTCTCCAGATCTTTTCACTTTTTATTTATTTTTTTCTTTTGGCAGTACTAGGGTTTGAACTCAGGGCCTACACTTTGAGCCACTCCACCAGCCCTTTCTTGTGAACTATTTGCCTGGAGCTGGCTTAAAACCTCGATCCTTCTGATCTCTACCTCCTGTGTAGTTAGGATTATAGGCAAGAGGCACTGGTGCCCAGCTTCTTTTCACTCTTTGTTAATTGAAAAGTTAATCCAAATCCTTCAGGACCACATTGTTCAGCTTCCAAACATAAATTGGTATTAGAGAAAGTAACAGAGATAACCTTCCCCACTGTCTCCAGCTTTTTTCACTCTTGACTTTGTCAAGTGAAAAGTTAATCCCATCAGGTGAGACACCTGGAGAAGTTGCAGTACTGCTTGGCCAAAAGTTGGGGTCTAGGTTTGACTGTTGACCCCCAGTGCTCATCTGCGAGAATCTCCAGCTTTCTGTTCCCTGCAGCTTGCCTTTGACTGCCGAAGTGGCTATTCCTCTTCCCTTTCATAGAATCTTCTTCTACACCTGTTAGTTTATATTTCTGTTTCACCCATATAAATCAGAAGAGTACACTAGATAGCAGTTATTTCACAGCTCTATTGCACATAGCATACCACCCAAAATTTAGTGTCTAAAAATAGTTTCCCACAGTCATGTAGCTGGCTTGGCAGTTCTGCCTCACATGGTGTCAGCCAGCACACTGGCATAGTTGAAAGTTCCAAAATGGCCTCACATGACTGGTAGTTGGTGCTGGCTGGGGGCTGGGAACTCAGAATGGGTTGTGGGTCATGGGACCTCCATTCTCGATGTTGGCCTCTCCCCAAAGGCATTTTCATTGGCTGCTTGGGTTTCCTCACATACTGAGGGATGTGTTCCAAAAAGGAGCATTTCAAGAACAAGGCAAAAAAGATGCAGATCTCTTAAGGCCCAGAATTAAGCATCATTTCTGTGGGCATTCTTTTGTTATTAAAACAGGTTACTGGGCAGTTTAGATTTAAGGGGAGTAAAAACAGACTCCATCTATTGATGCAAGTTGGGGCAAAGAATCGGCAGGCATCTTTAATCTGTGGTTTGCCCTGTAGCCACAAATTATTTACAATCTTCCCATGGGCAAAATACTTTTTACTCTCCTCCCAAGACCCCCCGAAAGGCTCATCCCATTAAGACTTCCAGAGTCTCATCATCTAAATAGCTCCAGGTGTGGTTCCTCAAGTTCAGGGACCTATGAATTATAAAAGTAAATTGCCCCCCCCCCCCCCCCCCCCCCCCCCTCCTCCCCCCCCCCCCCCCCCCCCCCCCCCCCCCCCCCCCCCCCCCCCCCCCCCCCCCCCCCCCCCCCCCCCGCCCCCCCCCCCCCCCCCCCCCCCCCCCCCCCCCCCCCCCCCCCCCCCCCCCCCCCCCCCCCCCCCCCCCCCCCCCCCCCCCCCCCCCCCCCCCCCCCCCCCCCCCCCCCCCCCCCCCCCCCCCCCCCCCCCCCCCCCCCCCCCCCCCCCCCCCCCCCCCCCCCCCCCCCCCCCCCCCCCCCCCCCCCCCCCCCCCCCCCCCCCCCCCCCCCCCCCCCCCCCCCCCCCCCCCCCCCCCCCCACCCCCCCCCCCCCCCCCCACCGCGCCCCGCCCCCCCCCCCCCCCCCCCCCCCCCCCCCCCCCCCCCCCCCCCCCCCCCCCCCCCCCCCCCCCCCCCCCCCCCCCCCCCCCCCCCCCCCCCCCCCCCCCCACCCCCCCCCCCCCCCCCCCCTGGCCCCCCCCCCCCCCCCCCCCCCCCCCCCCCCCCCCCCCCCCCCCCCCCCCCCCCCCCCCCCCCCCCCCCCCCCCCCCCCCCCCCCCCCCCCCCCCCCCCACCCCCCCCCCCCCTTCTTTCTCTTCCCCCCCCCCCCCCCCCCCCCCCCCCCCCCCCCCCCCCCCCCCCCCCCCCCCCCCCCCCCCCCCCCCCCCCCCCCCCCCCCCCCCCCCCCCCCCCCCCCTCCCCCCCCCCCCCCCCCCCCCCCCCCCCCCCCCCCCCCCCCCCCCCCCCCCCCCTCCCCCCCCTCCCCCCCCCCCCCCCCCCCCCCCCCCCCCCCCCCCCCCCCCCCCCCCCCCCCCCCCCCCCCCCCCCCCCCCCCCCCCCCCCCCCCCCCCCCCCCCCCCCCCCCCCCCCCACCCCCCCCCCCCCCCCCCCCCCCCCCCCCCCCCTCCCCCCCCCCCCCCCCCCCCCCCCCCCCCCCCCCCCCCCCCCCCCCCCCCCCCCCGCCCCCCCCCCCCCCCCCCCCCCCCCCCCCCGGAGAGGTAAGTGATCATGGCAAATGTTCCAGGTGCTTACGTTGAAGTTAGAGTAAGTGAAGTCATTGTCAGGTACGTGCACCTTGTCACACTGAAGTATTCTGAAGGTTTGTTTGCTCTTCGAAAAGAGATTTTCAAGTACTGTGAAAGGCTAATGAAACATTTTTTACTGTAAAGGTAGAGTACTTACAAAGTGTTAGTAACTGAAGAAAATAACTTTTTTTTTTTTTTACTACATAAATCCAGGAAAGTTTTCTCATGGCACTGAATTTAGAGTTTGTTCACATTACTGGTACTTTTGTTTCACAGGTTTTTTTTCTCAGCTTAGGTGTGCTTGATCATTTCCTCATGACTGGGTTCAAGTGTTAAACATTGTAGGCAGGAACACTGATGCATGTGTCTGGTGCACTGTGGGAAGAGGCCTAAGATACTGCACTCTTCACTGTCTTGCTTTTTTTCTTCTTAGTGTATACTAGGAGTCACTCCATAACAACTCACTGCTTTTTTTTCATTGTTTTGTATAGTTTCATAGTATTTCACTTTGTGGAATAACTAATCTTTGTAATTTGTCTATGGGCATTGAGGTATTTCTTATGCTTTGCTATTAAGTTTTGTTGTGATAACCTTCTACATGTTTTCAAATTGTTGGATCACACTATGACTTGCACTTAAACTTCCCTCTTAGTTCAAAAATGCTTCTTCAACTTCAGTATGTGTGTGTGTGTGTGTGTGTGTGTGTGTGTGTTGTGTGTGTGTGTGTATATATATTTTATTTTGTAAACTTTAATTTTTATTTTCTTGTGGGCTTAGGGGTGAAACCCAGGGTCCCCCACATGCCAGGCAAGTGCTATGCCACTGAGCTTCACCCCGGCCCAGTCTGTTTTCATACAAATGTTTTTTAGTATGTGGAGTGGTGTGCTTTTGCAGCACATGCTGGTTCTGTGATCGGTATATGGAGTGCAGTACATAGAAGAATGCAACCATTGTGTTCATTTATGTGGATTTTTACCTAGGCAGTGAGAGCTGGTGTAGCTTTAGTAGGATTTTATGTTCTCTCCTCAGAAAAGGGGGAGTTTCTCCAGACGAACCTTTACCCTGTGTTTGTAGAAGATGAGCACTTTGCCTGGGCCTTCCACCTCAAGGTGTTTCTCACGCCTCTGTGACTCCATGCATTGGGAGCCTGCCTTCCTTCCTGGCCCACCTTAATGACAGCCCCTTGGCTGAGCTCACTGCTGTTTGTGTTGCTTTGTTGATCACTGGCCAGGCTCTACTTGAGTGCTTCCAGAATTTTCCACAGCATTTCTTTTGTGTGAATTTTTAATACCCACGTGACCACTACCTGCTTGGTGGCTCACATCATCACAGCTAATGTTTGTGTAGTTTTTGTTAAATGCATTTCAATGTGGCTTTTACCAAAAGGCATTTTTTTTGGTCCAGATTTGAAGAAGGCAAAAACATTTAGAAATGCAAACATCATGGAAAACATTTGAAATTTTATAATTTCAGAAAGTAGTAAAATTGATGTATCTGCATTTTGGTCTTAGTCGCACTACGAGTTTTTTTTTTGGTACATGTCACATTGGGAGGAATCTATACTTGCTACATGTAAAATGTGAATTAACTTGAATTAATTTGGAATAATTTGTTGATGATTTTTCCTAGGTTCAGAAGACTAAGCTTAGACATCCAGTCTCCTCCAAATATTGGTCTGCGCCGTAGTGGGCAAGTTGAAGGTGTCGTCAGATGCATCAAAATGCTCCCCGAAGTCAGATCGCTACGGAGCGCGATCTGCAGGCCTGGAAGCGCAGAGTGGTCGTGCCCGAGGCGCCACTGGGCGTGTTCAGGTTGGTTTTAGGATATCTATTTATATTGTGTTGTATTTGTGAAAGGCTAGCAGTGTGCTTATTTGCTTGCTCTTTATTCTAGTAGTTGTGCAAGTAACCATAGAAATTAATTTACTAGTTTAGGGGAATCTATTTACTTGTGACAGATAAGTATCAAAATTATTTTCTTAACAGTTTTCCTGTGGTAAGTCTCTCGTTTATAATTTTATTTTATCTGTAGCCATCTCTTTCTCTCCTTTCAGTATTGTTTTGAAAAATTCCAGACATACCAGTTTTCTCTAAGTATTTCAGTATATATTTCTCAAAATAAGGAGTTGTCCGAAAATAGAAGCACAGTGACGTTGTCATAGTCTTCAGTACAGCCATGTAAATGTCCGCATCTCACGCATGCGTGCTGTCAGTCTCTACGAGGCTTTTCATAAGTGGTGCAGTTCTGTTGGAAGACACAGGATATGTAGTTGGCAGCCACTGATGCTTAATGCCTTGATTTACTAATTCATTAGGTGATATTTCAACTCTGCCATGGCCTCTTTTTTTGTATTAATAACAAAAAAGAAGTAACTGGATTATCCAGTAGTAAAATCTGTGTATAAAAGCAAGACAAATGCTTCATGCTTTTGCTTCGTTTACCTTTAATTTAAAGATTTATTCCCTTTCTTCCTTTAGCTTTGAACCAATTTTAGTCTTTGGGTGTAAATTGGTTTTAGTATAAAATTACGCTTCTGAGATTTCGTCTCCACCCTTCCCCGGGGGCGGGAGGGGAGCAACAAGTGTTGAACTTGGGCCTTGCACTTGCTAGGCAGGCACGCTACTACTTGAGCCACTCCAGTCCAGCAGCCCTTTTTACAGTGAGTATTCTGTTTATTTATTTATTTAGTGCTACTAGGGTTTGAACTCAGGTCACACACCTTGAGCCACTCCACCAACCTTTTTTTTTTTTTTTGCAATGGGTTTTTTCGAAATAGCGTCTCATGAACTATTTGCCCAGGCTGTCTTTGAACCAGGATCCTCCTGATCTCTGCCTCCAGAGTAGCTAGAATTACAGACATGAGCCACCAGCACGCGGCTACATTGGTTATTTTTGAGATACCATTTCAAGTTTATGCCCAGGCTGGTCTGGACCACGATCCTCCTATTTGTGCGTTCCTGTGTAGCTGGGATAACAGTGTGTGCCAGTGCACCTATACATTGGTTGAGATGTAGGGGTATCTCCCCAGCCTGGAAACTGCAGTCCTCCAGGTGTCACTTTAGGAGTAACTGGGATTACACCGCATGAGCCACCATGCCCCCCTCTGTGTTTCTTGAATGAGGAGATTCAGTGAGGCTTAGAGTAATATTAAGACAGTACTTAACTATTGTATAGTGATTTTGAGGGTATTTAAAAAAAATGCACAATAATAAAATAGTTGCAGAATAGCAGACTGTGATGAGAAATACTGAAAATCACTATTACGTACATGGTATGCTATAATTAAGCCTTATGAATTAGAATCTGAGTTTCATGATCATCAGTACCAAAAGTGTTGTGTTTGGAATACTTTTCATTGTCAAAACCAAGGGAAGCAAACATATCAAGAGTGATGAAAGAGGGCTGGTGGAGTGGCTCAAGTGGTAGAACGCTTGCCTAGAAGCACCAGGCCCTGAGTTCACTCCCCAGTACTACCTAAAACAGTGATGAAATACCTGAAGAATAGTTCCTTAAACCCATAAGCATTTACTCTCTCACCTAAAGGCAGACTGGAAATCGTTTGAGCCACTCCACCTTGAGCCAGTCCTTTTTTGGGATTTTTTTTTTTTAAGATAGGGAGGGGCTCGAGAACTATTTGCCCAGGTTGGCTTTGAACTACGATCCCACCGGTGCCAGGTAGCACCTTTGTTTCTGGACCTTGGCTTCCAGTCTTAGGTTCATGTCAAGTGCAAACTTGCTGCTGAAGCTCTAGCCATCATACACCAGCATCTGCAGTGTATGCTAAGATTTAGGTCAGAAGAAGGAGGGAAGGTGAGCAGCGGGCAAAAGCATGCTTCTAGTCTAAGCAACGCCCTTCTAAGCAGCCATAGGCCATTGCTGCTCATGACTTAGCAAGAAGAATGTTGTCATCTGACCATACTAAGTTACTGGGAGGCCTGGGACATAAGAGTTTTTTTTGGGGGGGGGGGTGGATTGCTAAAAGTCTAGATAAAAATTGGGATTCTGTTTCTGAGGAAGAAAACATGGGTTTTGTGAATTAGCATACTGTCTGCTGCAATATAATTTTCACACAAAACCTAACTCTTTCCAGTGTGTATACTAAGATGAAGGTCTTGTGGTGTGGAAGGAGATGCTGGTGAGGGAGTAAAGATTGCTACCTTTGGCAACAAGTCTCTGTGATGGAAACAAGTTGTCGTAACTTCCTTAGGCTTTGATTTGATAAAGATCAAGAGAGTTTAAAAGTTTTGTTTTCTGATTATAAAAGTATATATGCATTGTGAAGCATGTAGCTGGTAGATACCTGTGTGGAGGTAAACGACCCTTCTGTACAGAGGCATAGCTACACAATATGCTTCCCTAAGAAGAAACTGGGGCGAGGGTCCAGACACGTTGTTCGTCTTGACCCAGTAATAGTGGAAATTGCACATGCCTGTGATGTTTAACATACGCCTTTGTTCTCTGATCACCTCACTAGAAGTGAATTTTGCACAGTGGAAGGTGATCCTCAGGAGGATCAGAGCTCCCATGCTCCTTTGCTTCACGGATTGATAGCCAGTTGTACACAGGTTCCTTGTCAAAACAAAGGGAAGCAAAACAATATGGGTAGGGATGTCATTCGGCTGCAAGTTCCTTAAACAAAAGCAGTGGCACTGAGTTGTTGTAGAGGGTTAAGTCTGTAGCTAATCTCCTGATAGAGTAATGTGTCACGGTAACCTGAGTGTAGGAAAAAATGATTTCCTCAGAAATGAGTTTTTCCCCTTAGCAGCATTTGCACATTGATATAGAGAGTGTGGCCAAGATAGCAGTTTTGTCTTTTCTTTCTTTTTAGTTTTTTTTTTTTTTTTTTTTGTGGTACTGGGGTTTGAACTCAGGGCCTTATGGTTGCTACTCAAGGGCTCCACCACTTGAGCCGCTCCACCACTTGAGCCGCTCCACCAGCCCTTTTTTGTGATGGGCATTTTTGAGATAGGGTCCTCATATACTATTTGGCTGGGGTTGGCTTTGAACTGTGATCCTCTCTCTGCCTCCTGAGTTGCTAGGATTATAGACATGAGCCACCAGTACCCAGGAAGATAGCTGTCTTGAATGCTTCTCACAGTATCATGTGAGTGAGATACAGAAAACTTAGAGAAACTAGGAACACTGTTATTTTTGCTTTCTGTAAATCATAAAGCGTGGAATTGAATTACGTTTGGAGAGGGACAACTTTGCTTTTATTTCTTTCCTTAGAGAAATTCCTGAGAGAAATTGCAGTCTTGAGACATCACGGACACACTGAGTACCTAATACAGAATATCTCATTTGAATTAATCCTAATAGGACCAGTCAGAATACAAATGAATGAATATTTTTGTAATAAATATGAAAAATAGCATCTCCTAGCTGCTTTTGAGAGTTTTAAAAATACTTATACCAAATTTTCAATGTTTTGTTTTAACTTGAGGAATATTATATATTAACTTAAAATCATATACTATGATTCTTAGAATCATATCATTAACTTTTGCTATTTATGTCAATTCAATTCAATATCTGCTAAAGCTGGATATTTGATTTTTGTAGGAAGCTGGAAGACTTTCGAATAGAGAAGGGTGAGGAAGAGAGACATCTTTATATAATCGGAAGGAAGAGGAAGTCTCTTCAGCTCTCACAGAAGGTGAATTCAAATCTGGTTGAGGAACAAGCAAACTTGAAACTGGAATTTAGAGTGCCTTCTGACTTTAAAGTATCAGTACATTTTCTGTTGATGCACAGTGTTTATTGCTGAAGTCTTCTGTGTCTGATAGAAAAGTAGACTTAAGACCATGGGGCTGTTAGGAAGGAATAGCTTGAAAACCAGAGCAAAGTTGCCTGCCAGCAGTGTGAAAGGGTTGTTGAAAGTTATTGTGTAATGACCACTTGTTAAGAATTACAATGTCACTAGGGCTTTCAAAAGCACTTTGTGTCCATCCTCAGTCAGGATTATATCCTTTTTTCCACACGTCACCAACTGTCTCGACTTGTAAAACTGCCAGTTAGCTTTGTCTGTTGTTAATGGTTTGTGGTCCACCAAAACTCTGCTGGGCAAAATCTTATTTGTTAATATTTAAGCTCTATTTTTTCTTGGGTTTCATATGAGCGTCCATAAATAACTGAATTCATGAAGAGACACAACGCAAACGGAGGCACTGTTAGAAAAAAAGTGTTGTGGCAAATAGTTGTGATTAAAGTTTTTATACTCTACTACTTGAGCCACTCCACCAGCCAGTGATTAGAGATTTTTATGTTATTGGTTGCTTCATCGGCTTGTTTCCACTGATGGCCCTCTTAAAGTTTTAGGGTCTGTGTTTTTGTATGTGGCTCGAGCTTTGAGAGTTAAAGAAAAATAATTTTATTTCATAATTGTAAAGCAATTTAGTGCTTTCTTATTTCAAGTGGTGTAAAGAAAAAAATGTTTACTTTCTGAATTAATTCCAATGGCTAGAGTTAAGAACATTTTCATATGTCAACCACATTTTAAAAGTTCTCTTAATTTTTATGAACTTTTAAATATTTTACATTTGTTGGTAAACATAAGTTTTCAAAGATTCTAAAGATTAGACTTCATCACTATCTATGTATAAATTTCTAATTTGCATATGTAATTTGATGCATTATAATTTATGTAGCTAAATGAATTTTATTTATTCAACATGATTATAAAGTTACAGTTACGTAATAGTTCCAATTTTTTTCCCCCTCTGCCCTTGGGTTTGAACTCAGGGTCTCACGCTTACCAGGCAGGTGCTCTACACTTGAGCCACTCCGCAAGCCCTGTTTTATGTTGCGTATTTTCAAGATAGGATCTTAAAAAACTGTTTGTCCAGTTTGGCTTCGAACCTCGATCCTCCTCATCTCTGCCTCCTAGGATTACAGACAGGCATGAGCCACCAGCTCCTGGCTTAATGTTTTCCTTGAAATTCTTTTATGGTAATGAAGCTTCCTTTGGATAGTATGTACATAGTAACTTTCTATCTGTTAACTTTCTCCTCTTTCCAGTCACATGTTATTTGGTGTTTTCTGGTAATACCTTTTTGTTTCTTGAACTGGTTTCTGCTGTTGTAGGTTTTTTCTGACCTATATTCTAATTCATTAATTCTCTTCAATTGTATACAGTCTTCATTTTAATCACTATATCTTTTGGTTCTGAATTTTCATTTGGTGGTTGTAGAGTTTTCAATTTTCTGGTAAACTTTTCATTCCTAGAGAGTCAGCCATAGGTCTGATAATTTCATAGTTTTGATAACTTGCTTCCCTTTGACCAGTTTCCATTACATGTTGATTTCTCTGCTTTCTTCATTCCATCCTCCCTCCCTTCTTTCTTCCTTTTCTTCCCTCCCTGCTTCCTTCCCCTCCTCTTGCCTTCCTCCCTTTCTTCCCTTCTTTTCCCTTTCCCTCCTTCCTCCCCCTTCCAGAATGCTTAGTGTTAGAGAGATTTGAAACATTGGTTATAGGCTGTAAATTGTAATCTGTTCGCTTTACTCATGAGTTAGTCAGTGTTTTGCTTACTTCCCAGACTTTTCATCTTTCTCTTCTAGAATGAAATTGTAGTTTTTAGTTTTTTTTTTAAGTTTTTAATCTTTTTAGATGTGTAGTGCCTTCAAAGTGATTCTTTAAAATATGTTTTGCCAGATTTTCTTGTTCTTAGTGAAAGCTTTATCAGTCATGAAACTCATTAATAGGACTTCAGTATGAATCTGTATGACAAGTTAAAACAGTTCATTTTATGATCATTCTGCACTAATTATTGATACTTGAAATAAAGTCGATAGTTTCTTTTATTTTGCTTAATTTTTAAAGATTATTTTCTTTTTAGAAAGTCAGTCAGAAGTGAAATGTACTATTAACTATTCACCTAAAAGCTTTAAATCTGGAAATAATTAGGGTTAATGCTTAAGGATTTTTTTCATAGTTTTCTATATACTTCAGCTATTTCTTCACATATAGACAGTGATACATTTCTTAAGGTTGATTAAGTACATCATAATATAGAGATATATTTTCACTTCTGAGATTACTTTTTTTGAAGTGAAATCTTTTTTGAGTTGTTACTTTACCTCATTCATGGTATGAAATACTCTCACCCACCGGGCTTTTTCTCACACCTTCTGAGGAATTTAAAATAAAAACACTAAGGTTGACTTCACAGTGCTAAAAATAACGCATACTCAAGAGAAAACAATGTAAGCCTTGAATTTTTTGGCTTGAACTCCTTTTAGGAACTTGAGAGAATGCCCGTTTTGTGTATATTGTCCTTATTTAGGCATTGATTTTTACCCATGTTTCTTCATGTTTTAGTCGGAGTCAGTGGCTTTGGTGTCACAGTCAAGACAGAGAACATGTCGGCGCACAAATTATGGTCGAAGAAATGTTGGCCGACGTGAGTTATCTTCTGGAAATGAATCTTCAAGCTCCGTCAGACATGTGAGTAGACCAACTTTAAAATATGTAAGACGATCTTAGACAAATGTTTAATTCTTTGAGTCTACCCCAAATTTCTGTGAGAATAAGGAATTAGAATGCAATTTCCCCATTTGAGCTTTTGCAGGGCAGGAGGGAAGAGCGCAGGGAGCTGACTTGGAGCTCCGAGGCTCAAGGAGTCTTCCTGCCTCATCTTCTGAGTGCTGGATTTTACCATTGCGTCATCATGCCCAGATGCATTTCTTTGAAGTTTTAGCTGTCTGATAAGATACTCACCTCAGGTGCATGTGAGCCATGCTCTAGTAGTATTAAACATTTCCATTACCCCTAAAAATCCCTGTGCCCGTCTGCAGTCACTCCCCAGTTCCTGCCCTACCTAAAGACCCCTGACAGTTACCAGTACTTTTTGTTTGTATATCTATCTGTTTTGGATATTTCATATAAATGGAATCATGCAATATGGTTTTTTGTGTCCAGTTTCTTTTTATGTAGTGTGTTTGCAAGGCTGATCCATGTGTAGCATGTATTGTCATTTCATTCTTTTTTAATTGCCTGATAATGTACGATTGTAAAGCTGTTACTACCTTGTTTATCTGTTTGTTGCCTGTGCCGTTTCTTCTTTTGGCTGTTTGTAAACATTACTGTACGGGCTTTGATTTGGACATAGGTTTCCAGCTCTTGGGCATATGTCTCAGAGTTGATTTCCTGGGTCAGTGGCAACTCTGTGTTTAACTTTTTTGAGGACTTGCCAGGCTGTCATCCAAGGTGCCTTTCTCACTTTCATTTCTATCAGTGGTCTGTGAGAGAGGCGGGTGGGGCTCTGGGCATGCTTGCACTTGTCTGCCATTTCCTTTGAAAGACCTTGCTTGGCATGTAGTGGTTTCTTTCGGTGTGGTTTTACACTTCCCTAATCATCAGTGATGTTAGCCTCTTTTATGTGCTTGCTTAGCATGGGTGTGTCTTTGCAGAATTGTCTGTTCTATTTGCAGTTCGTTTTTCAATTTGCCTTTTTTCTTTTCATTGCTAAGTTCTTTATATACTTTAGGTACAAATCCTTCATTAGACACATGATTTGGAAATATTTTCTTAATTCTGTGGATAGTTTTTTAACTTCTTTGCTAGTGTCCTTTGATGTGATAGTTTAAATTTTGATGGACTTATTATTTTTTTCTTTTATCACTTGTTATTTTAATGTATTTAAAGTCTTTGTCTCGTTCTGTTTGACTTTTAATGATCATGTGCAAATTATTCTTTTTTAAAATTTTGTTTTGAAACCATGGTTTTGTTTTTGAAGAATGTTCAAGGTCTTCTGGGTTCCTGGGGTTGGAACTCAGGACTTCATTCTTGCTAGGCAGGTGCTGTAGCACTTGAGCCACTCTCCCTTCTCCTAGCCCTTTTTGCTATAGGTAATTTTCTGAATTGGATCTTGGCTATTGCCTGGGCCAGCCAGAACCACGATCCTCCTATTTATGCCTTCCATGCAGCTGGGATGACAGGCATGTTCCTCCACCATGTCAAACTTACTGGTTGAGATGTGGTTTTCCTAATTTTTGCTGGGATTGACCTGGTACCTCCATCCTCCTGAAAGCTGCCTCCTGAGTACCTGGGATTGCATATGTTAAGCCACCTTGCCTGGCAATATGTTTAATATTAGAATGTTAATGTTTTCTGCTTCAGTAATGTTTTGAGAAATGTAATGTTCATTTGGCTGAACTGTTTACTTAATTCTTATATAAGTGGTAGGATAGCAGTGACAGAGTTGAGTTAAAATTTAAATTCTTGGATTTAGGCAGATTTCTTCACCTTTCTGTGCTTTTGCCTGTGTAAAGGAATGTCCTTCAGTGTCTTGAGAATAAATTTAGTTAGTAATGTACAGTGTTTAAAATGGCAGCTACTTTAAAAGATGCTCTGTGCATGGAAACACTACTGTCTCCTGTTACCAAGATTGTTCTTTGTAACTATTTGTTTTATGTAATTAGATTGTTTTCACATTTTTTAATCCTTTTAAAAGTGATTTTGGGTAGTTTAAAACTTTATTATTCCTTTTGAACAGCACAGGTATATGTTCTTCTCCCGCTCCTATGGTAGTTATGGAAGTTAAACTGGGAATCAGAATAGTGGTAAATCAGTGTCTTAGCTCTCACATTCAGTTGTCAGGCCCTTTGGCTTACATGGAGGAAATTATGTAGGTGGGTAGGAGGTTGTGGCCACTGAGGATTTTACAGGCTTATCATACCTTCCAACTGCTTGCAACAATTAAGTTCCCTCCCCTCCCCTCCTTCTCCCCCTCCCCTTCTCTTCCCCCTCCCCTCCCTTCCTTCCTTCCCTCCCTCTTCTTTCCTTTTATTTTTGTGGTTCTGGAGTTTGAACTCAGGGCCTTGTACGTGCCAGGCAGGCACTGTACTGCTTGAGCCCCCAAACATTTCTTTATGTTATCCACCAAAGATGTTT